CTTCAACTCCAGGAGCACCGGTCCCAAGGCGAGAGCCCAGGTGCCAGGGGACACTGGCAGAGGCACGGCACCGTCTACTACTGCTGCGCTGGCATCAAGCCCACCCAGATCCCTGCCAAAGCCACTGCTGGCTCCTCTAACAAGCCCCAGCCAGTGGGTGTGAATTCTCTTAGTGTTCATTGAAATAACATTAAGTGTGATGGACTCCTGGGCTATTAGAGTGGATGTAACATGTAATTGAGGCTGGTTATTCTTCATCTGGAGTGTCCCCCTTCACTAATGGCAAATCAGGGCAGAACACATGGTGCGCGCTTTGTGAATCCGGGACTCAATTCACTCCCTGCCTCCGATCAAAATGATCCCAATGAATGTCAATGAATGAGCGGGGGACAATGAATTAGAGTGAATGAAAGCCTTGTAATGGGGCCCTTTGCCCGCGCCGAGCCACAATTCAACGCCACAAGGATGGCGTCTGCCTGGGCGGTGTTTGAATTCATCCCCATTAGCGCGATTAGGGTGAAGATTACAGGGTGGGGGCAAGGTCGGCTCCGCTGATGGGGCTCTCCAAGCCCTATTGCTGCCATTTCTTGGGAGACCAAAACAAGCAGGTTCTGGGGAAGCCTAGCTCCAGCTGGGAACAGGCTGAGCAGAGACAGGCAGATGCTCAGGCAGCCCAGGGCGGATCCGTCTCACCGGCCTGGTGTTCAGTAGCATTGGGGGTCCCAAAATCAGAGCCTGGTTTTGATTGCAGGTTGCGATTCAGGTCAGTGGGGTTGCTGTGCTCCCAAGTTTTGGATTAAGCCATTCTCTTGACTAAAGCATAAGTCAGATGCTCCAGGTAGCATGCGCGTGGCTTTTTGCCATGGAAATGCCCACATTTTCCCCTGAGGCTGCATTCCCGGTGTCTCAAAGACCCAAATCACCAAGGAAAACAGGGGCACATCACCTGGCAGCGATCGAGGCAAAGAGGAGGGAGGCTGCTCCGGGATCCAGGGTCTTGGCAGCTGCTGCTGCTTCTGTATTAAATCTGCATCTCCCAACAAACACCCAAATGTGTGGGTGCATCTGCACAGAAATGATGAATAATAATTCAAGAGGGAAAAGGAGTAGGCGAGAGAGCGCAGGGGAGAAGGAAGCTTTTGCGTACCGAGGGGAGAGGAACAGGATCAGCAGTGAGAGCGAAGCCTGGAAGGAAGCGAAGGCTCTCGCTAAGGGGACCTGTCTGGGGAAGGCAGGGAGAAAGCAACCGCCTGTGAAAACTCGGCAAGGAAGAGGGAAAGGCTTCAAAGAAACCGAGCTGCGCGGAGATAAGACCAAATTCCTGCAGCCCATTCAGAAAGGAGGCGATGGGGAGAGTCGCTCTCCCACGTGCGGCTGCAGGGTAGGCATGACTGCAAGGAATGTGGGATGCCATTCATTTTTTTCCCCTCTGTTTCTGCAAAATCAAGAGTGGGTGCATGCGTGCATCCAGCCCCTGATCCCCATGGGTTTAGCCCACACTGCCTGGGTGTTTGCTGAGGGTCCGTCCCACGGGTGATCACTGCCGGACCCCCATGCCTCCCAGCTCAATGGGGTTTGTTAACAGCCCTTGAAGTCCTGCGAAGGGTCACAAACACAGGGGCTGCCCCTCGGCACAGCATCACCCCGGGGTCCGACTGACACGGGGCTCGTGCCATCGCCCCGGCCCCCTCCCCACTACGGTGACAAAAGAGCTTTGAGGGGCTCATTTGCCGGAGGCGGCAGAGCGAGAGGGAAAGGCTTGCGTCTTTTCTGGCTTCCTGTCCTTGTTAATTGGTGAGTGACAGGGCAAATCACATTTCAGAGTAATCACATTTAGCACCAAGAGCCAGGCGAGGCCGGGAGCGGGTGGGGGGCTGCAGCAGCAGCTTCAGGGGCAGAGATGGGCTGGTACAGTGGCATCACCATCGCACGCTGGCAGGCACATGCAGACCCACAGTGGACAACGTGCACCCCGCAAACATCCAGCCCTGCTACACCTACATGCTTATCCAGGCTGCCTGCACCTACAGCCATGGTACCATGCCCCCAGGATGCGCCCCCATCTCCTGCACCCTTCCCACAGCCCCACAGCCTGGGGCACCCACCATTGCCGGGGCATTTTCAGACCCTGCACTCTCAGTACCACTTTTTTTTTTTATCCCCAACCCCTTTTTACACTTTGCAATATGCCTAACCTGAACTGTGGCTGTTGCCAAGCATGCAAAAGCCCTTAAAAAATATATATACACACACACACACGCATCTAAATATATATGTATGTACATAATGACTAGTTCTTGTTTGGCTCAGCAAACCGATCTGGCTCCCCGTAGAGTCACACGGTCACTAGATTTTAGGGAAGATGCAAGCATGTACCGCAGAGGCTGAACAAGGAAGGGGGACAGGTCGGGTCCCCCCTTTTTGGAGGCGCCCCAAAGCTGGAGCAGAAGCCCGTGCCCTCTGCTGGCCTGGTGCGCTCCCAGCTGCGCTGTCTGCAGAGCCTTTCTGCTAACGCTGTGCGTGAACGCCAACTCCTCCACGGCTTTCAAAATGTTCATTTTTATAATCGAAAGAGGGAAGAAGAAGAAAAAGACATGGCCAACCCTCTCAGGCATGTGTAGGAGGGCTGGGATTGATGGAAACGCCTCCTGCCAAGAGGCTGGAAAGTCCCAGCTCTCCCTCCCCACACTTCTGTCTTCCACCGGCACCCGAAAAAACCAAGGGTGCATCTACCCAAGGGGCCTCGTTGCTCCCCAGCAAGGTGCTGTGGCCATGGGGACGGCAAACCTGACATCCCCAGAGCACCAGGTCCATGGACCCTGCACCGCTGCATGTTTTAAGGCATCAAACGTCCCCGCCACCTCTCCCATGGGTGCGTGTAAATACAGCGGCTGCTCCCCCCACCCCGGCTCGGTCGCGCCCGTCGAGCGCCGTCTCGGGGATGCTGTCACTATTGCTGGCAGCTCTGCTGCTGTGACACTGCCTCGTCTCTTCTGCAGGCACATACACACACGCCTGGCGTCGGGAGCACACGCTGGCGGAGCAGCCTCCTGTGCCAATTATCCTGTTCCCTGCAGCGATTCCTCCCCCTCCGCGCACATTGTGCTTCTTACCCCAGAAAAATGAATGAAGCCCAAGTCATCGATCACTTTTAGCATATCAGCATCCAGGCAGCAGTTCAGACCTTGGTTCTTTCTTACTTCTCTTAATCTCCCCGAAATGGATTTAGGGATTAAAGCGGATATTCTGTCTTTCTGGGACTTTTCTTTGACACTTAATCAATCCGGGTCCTCAGGGCACAGCGAAAAAGAAAACAAAGCTGAGGGATGAGCGCGGGTTGGTGTTACCCCGTTCAGGATGCAGAGGAGCCTGCACTGGAGCAGGCGCGAGGCAGGACGTGCCGAAGAAAGGGAAAAACATAGGAGCAACTCTCCAGGCCTGGAGGCTGAGGCAGCAAGGATGCCCTGGCACACCGTGCCCATGCCCTCCATCGCTCAACCCTCTCCTGGCAGACCCCAAGCACTCTCCCGCTGTCGGGTGGTGTTGTACCCCAGGGTGCCTGCTTGGGTGACGGGAGCCCAGCGCGGGGACGCTCCAGAGGAGAGCTGGACCACCCAGCACTGGTGCTGCCGAGGGTGGAAGCTTTGAGCTGTTCTGCATACAGCGGAGAGCGGAAACATTTCCGACCTCATCATCCCGTGCAACTGGGCTTGAGCTCATTTTGCTTACACATTAACTTCTGCCACAAGCAGCTCTTCCCCTTTCTCCCCCTTCTGATTGCCTAGATGGAAGGTGCATCTCCAGTACAGCCCTGGCACTGGGAGCCAAGCGTCGCAGAGGCCACCAGGAGCTGGGATTTTTTTTCTTTCCCCCCCCATAGCAAAGAGCATTAATGCACAGCCCCACGTACCTCTGAACAGTAATCACGATGCTTAGCACACACATAACGCCTCTCGTCGTCTTAAGTCTGCACAGACATTAAGCGTAATTAAGCCTCACACTTTTCAGGTAGGTTAAGAGGAGCACTGAAAATTGGAGAGAAATCAGGGAGCGACAAGCTGACGCCGGGGAGGCTGGGACTGTGCCTTGCGGCGCCGAGCGCGGCTGTCAGGGGACGTCCACGTGTTTGTGCAGGGCACAAGCAGGAGGCACAGGCGCCTGTTGAAATTCATGCCTTTTAGGCAGCTAAAAGTCCCTCCAAAACCCTTTCTGTCCTCTCCTTATTTTTAGAGTCTCCTGTGTCTCACAACCCCCGTGATCTCATCCAAGTGTGCCATACCCAGCAGCTCCCACCGAGCCCCTGGGTGTGGGGCAGGATGCACTGAGCCGTGCCTCGGTGGGTGCCAGCCACCCTGGGGGATGCAGGCCGGTCATGGGAGGCTCCCAGAGCCAGCCAAGGTGCAGGGGAAAGCCCTGCACTTCCCTGCCTTCCTCGTCTGCTGCCCTCCTTCGCATGGGGCTTCGCAGAGGGATGGGGAAGAGCAGCCCTGGGCTGGCAGCAGGGTACCAGCCCCAGCACGTGCCCCTCTGCCTTTGCACGCACCTGAGGACTGACCAGCTTGCCCACCCCCAGCCCAAGACACACTGACCCATCCCTGGAGATGCGCCTGGGGAAATGTGCCCGCACCCCCTTGGCACAAGCCCTTTCACGCACCCATGCCAGCTTGTACCCAAACGTGCGTGCAAAGCGTGAGTTTGTACACTCGCATCGTCAGAAACCGCCCCGCTCCTGCCGATGCCCATCACGCCCCCTTCCCAACCCCACTTTTCCTCACCCTGCTCTCTTTGCCTCCCCCAGGCTCGCAGCTCCGGGGCACAGCGAGGGCTTTGCTATGATTGCAGCAGCGGCCGCCTCTACCCGCTGCCCAGACCCCTCTCCGCACGGTTCAGCCGGGCTCCGCTCCCCCCCGCCACCTGCCCACCGCCCGGGAGCAGCATGGGCAGCGTCAGCAGCCTCATCTCCGGCCACAGCTTCCACAGCAAGCACTGCCGAGCCTCCCAGTACAAGCTCCGCAAGTCATCCCACCTGAAAAAGCTCAACAGGTACTCGGACGGGCTGCTCCGCTTCGGCTTCTCCCAGGATTCCAGCCACAAGTCCAGCTCCAAAAGCAGCAAGAATGAGGACTTCTTTTACATCAAGGTCAGCCAGAAATCGCACGGCTCCCACCGAGCGGACTATACCTCGCTTGCCAGTGGGGAGCTGGGCAGCCAAGCTGGGACGAGCGGGATGGACTTCGGGACGCCCACGCCGCAGAAGCTGATGCCCTTTCCCAGTCAGCTGGAAGTGGTTAGTAGGGGCTGGGGTGGCCCCAGAATCATAGAATGGTTTGGGTTGGAAGGGACCCCTAGAGGTCATCTAGTGGGGGGGTGTCCCGCTAGCCTGCATCTGCCCTCAAAGCGGGTGCAGGTCCCACCGCAGGGTTGTCCTCGTCCTGGTCCAGGAGAAGGTTCAGAGAAAGTAGTTTGTGCCAAGGAAGTGGGAGGAGAGGGGCAGTGGGGAGGTGCTGAGGGCCCCCTGCCACCCTCTGCTTTCGGGAATTTGGATCAGCAGCAAGATCCATATCCTTTAATTTCCAAACATGCCACTTGCATCCCAGCAGAGGCAGTTTTAGCCATCAGCATCCTCCTGAGCTTTCAGCCCTTGATAGAGACCCAAGCTGTCCCTGCCGTGGGGGTCTCATCCGTAGGGGCAGAAGGGTTGGGGGAACAGAGGTGACGTGGTGTCGGTCTGTGCTGACGGGCTCTGCTCTTCTCCCCAGGGCACAGAGAAGCCGGCCGCGCGGCCAACTGCCTTCAAACCAGTGCTGCCCCGGTCCAGCACCATCCTCCACTCCTCCCCGGAGAACGGGGGTCACCTCTCCCAGCAGCTGCACCCCCCGGACAAAGCCAAGGAGCAGGAGCTGAAGCCGGTGCTGTGCTCGGGGGGTCTGTCCGACTCCGGCAGGAATTCCATGTCCAGCCTCCCCACCCACAGCACCAGCAGCAGCTACCAGCTCGACCCCCTCGTCACGCCCATGGGACCCATCAGCCGCTTCGGGGGCTCAGCCCACAACATCTTGCAGTGCGCCATCATCCAGGACAGCAACATGATGAGCCTCAAGGCCATGTCCTTCTCTGATGGGGGCAACAAGATCCTCAACCCCGGCAAAGCCCCCCACCACCACGCCACCGAGAAGACCACTTGCATCCGTTCGCCCATCTCCACGGACGAGTCCACCATCCAGGAGCTGGAGCAGAAGCTGCTAGAGAGGGAGGGGGAGCTGCAGGAACTTCAGTCAAGCTTTGAGGAGAAGGAAGTCAGCTCCTGCCAGGCTTACGAAGAGAAGCAGCGGCGCTGCAAGGAAGAGCTGGAGGGCCTCAAGCAGAAGTGCAACAGCAAGCTCAAGCAAACCTCACAGAAAACCCAGCGGACGCAGCAGGTCCTTCACCTCCAGGTGTTCCAGCTGCAGCAGGAGAAGAAGCAGCTCCGGGAGGAGCTGGAGAACCTCATGAAAGAGCAAAACCTGCTGGAGACCAAGCTGCGCTCCTATGAGAAGGAGAAGACCAGCTTCGCCCCGGCACTGGAGGAGACCCAGTGGGAGGTAGGTGGCACGGGAGCACTGTGTGGTATCTCGGGCTGCCAAGGCTGAAAGCAAAGCGTGCGCGTGGAAGGTGATAGCTCCGGCACCAGCCATAAACCACGCAGCTCTTCTCCATTTCTGTACCTGCATCCAGCAGCACTACGGAGGGTTTGAGCCGAGCAGATGGCGCACAGGCTGTAGGAGATGGATATTAAAGCCGAGGAGAGCCCTAGTCTGTCACGCGGAGGCTCTGCAAGTTATAATTGAGTGACTCACTGCCCCTCTTAACCCCTCAGCTCTTCACATCGTGTAAGGAAACAACTACTGCATAAAAATTCAGTCATTAAAATAACTTCGCGTTTGCAGCCTCCAGCACGAGGTTTTTCAGGCTGCCTGCCCCAAAGGAGCAGTAAAGCCGCCGTCCCACGTGTAAATGGGAACTCCTGGGACTTGCCATGGCCATTTGTTAGAGAGCAGTAAAGCCTTCCACTCAAGCTTAATTTTATCTCTGGTTGGGGATCGCTGAACAAAGACCCTTAAAGTGGAGCTGTTGGAGCGGGGCCAGGGGAGGGCTACTAAAATGCTCCAAGGGCTGGAGCCCCTCTGCTCTGAGGCCAGGCTGGGAGAGTTGGGGGTGTTCAGCCTGGAGAAGAGAAGGCTGCGGGCAGAGCTGAGTGCGGCCGGTCAGGGCTTCAAGGGGGCCCAGAGGAAAGGGGGGGACAAGCTTTTTAGTAGGGCCAGCTGGGACAGGACAAGGGGGGATGGCTTTAAACTGAAGCAGGGCAGGTTTAGACTGGATCTAAGGCAGAAATTC